GTGTGTGTGTGTGTGTGTGTGTGTGTGTGTGTGTGTGTGTGTGTGTGTGTGTGTGTGTGTGTGTGTGTGTGTGTGTGTGTGTGTGTGTGTGTGTGTGTGTGTGTGTGTGTGTGTGTGTGTTTGTGCGTGTGTGTGTTTGGGTGTATGCGCAAATGCGCGCGTGTATTTCGATATCTAATAAAGTTACATGGAAATCAAATACAACCTTAAAAAGGCTTTTAGCTAGACGGCTTGTAGAAAGGTAATGTATTCATTAGCGAATGCGCACCGCCAATGTAGCGTAACACATATAATATCAAAACAATGACGACCGTTGATGTTTAAATGAAACAGGACCCCAGGTATAGTAGATATTCGCCGAGGTCGCACTATAACCAGAATAGAAGCGCATGACAGCTTTCTTCTGATGACGCTTTGATGTCCGTTATCGCAAAAGGTATATACGTCAACACTGGCACTCCACACACGCACACATGCACGCACGCACACACACACTTGCACGCACACACACACAGACAGACACACACACACACACACACACACACACCCGTACCCCGGAATCTGCGACGCACATAATTAAACTCGCGCGCGCGGAAGCAAGGAAAAAATCGCAAAACAATAGCAACGACGACGATTATTTCCCGCGCTTGAGCCTCAACAGTGGCGCCCTCTATACACGCGGAGGTTAATCTCGATGTGAGTGAGATGAGAGTGAGAGGAGGGAGTAAGGGAGGAGTGCGGGGGCGTGCGGTGTCGGCGGGTTTCATATCGAATCACCAGCGATGACTTTGACCTTCAACTCTGACCTTTTGTCCGCCATGACACGGCTTTTAAAATCGTTGCTAATTTTTCTTTGGGAGAAGAATCTTCGTCTGCGCTGTGAAGCATGTGAAGAGAGAGAGAAGAAGACGCATCTGTTAACGGCGAGAGTCGCGGGTGCGTCTGCACGCATGCGCGATAGATTCATGGTGGCGATCATCAATATATATATCCATGTGAATAATTATTCATGCATACAGGCTAGGCTATATAGACGTAACGGGTACGGCTAGCAACATACCGTAGTATGTGTAACTACTATCATGTATCGCGCTACGACACGCGTGATTCGTGTTCGGCGTTAGAATTAATTAGAGATGTTAATGATATCGCAGAACGGAATTAATGAATTGTTATTAGGATGAAAAGCACATCAGAGCCGGGGGATATGGTTATGGTAAGGGTTAATGTTAACGTTAGGGTTAGTGTTAACGTTAGGGTTAGGGTTAGTGTTAAGGTTAGGGTTACATTATGGTTAGAAAATCAGGGTTGTGGTTAAGGGGTCGGTTAGTGTAAAGTTTTGGTCGCAAGTTTTGGTTCAGGATTCGGATTTGCAGGGTCACGTAACATCCTCATCGCGATATGTAATTCAATGGTAACCGCGGCGGACGTGCGCAGACGACGGAAAATGCCGCGTGGAGAATCGGCGGCCAGACATAATTCACCGATAAACCCGATTACCGTCGACGCGCGTCGGCGACGTGTTTACTAACACGCTCGCGCTCGCTGCATGGGGTTCCCACTATATTACGGCCGCTACGAGCGATGGTTATGCATTCCGTGACTGTAGTGGAAGGAGAAGGGGAGGAGGAAAAGAAAGGGGAGAAGAAGAAAGGGAATGGGGAGAGGAAGAAGGGATAGTTCGGGGAAGAGAACAAAAAGAAAAATGAAGGAGAAGAAAGAAGCGGATGCGGACGCGAGGAAAGTAGAGAAGGGGGAAAAGAAGCAAACGAAAGAAGGAGCGCATGCGCAGCGGAGAAAGGGGTCCAGGGTCATAGGCTGAGCAAATTTCTAGGGGGACAGTGGCGGATTCAGGATTTAAAAGAGTACATCTTTTAGAGGGGTGAGAAACAGGTGGGGGTCTGGGAGACCTCCCACAGAAAATTTTGAAAATGTAGATCGCAGGAGATAGTATTTGAGGCACTTTTGAGTACATGTACAGCCTTCATTCAGACTACGACAATTCTCCTTTAGTAGAACAATTAATTTTTTTAATTTTGCTCCAAAATCTAGGAGGACAGCTGCCCCCCTTGCCCCCCCCGCAGTCTACGGCCCTGGGGGTCGCTTATCATAACGGCGGGTGCATACCACGCTAAATCCGGTCCAGAATTTTTCGCGCGCGCTGTGGATTTTCCGATGCACGCCTCCTATCGGACGGAAAGCGAAACGCGCGGCTCAGTAGAGATATTCGTGGCGGCATTACCATACGCGTCTCGGCCGCTTTCCGAAGATGCAATTACCGAGCATGATTATTGCGTCGGCTATCAAAGACGCGCCGACACTCATCCGTTTAAATTAAAGACGTCGGCGCATCACCGGAGCATAGACCACATGATGTCGGCGACGACGAAAGCGACGCTGAGAGACGTTCTGTATTAATTAAATATGTAGATCAATGAATGGGGTAATTAATTAGCGAATTGCGAGTGGGTGAGTGAGTGAGTGAGCGAGCGAGTGAGTGAGTGAGTGAGTGAGCGAGCGAGCGAGTGAGTGAGTGAGTGAGTGAGCGAGCGAGTGAGTGAGCGAGCGAGTGAGTGAGTGAGTGAGTGAGTGAGTGAGTGAGTGAGTGAATGAGTGAGTGAGTGAGTGAGTGAGTGAGTGCGTGGGTGAGTGAGTTGACTCGCTCACTCACTCACTCACTCACTCACTCACTCACTCACTCACACTCACTCACTCACTCACTCACTCACTCACTCACTCACTCACTCACTCACTCACTCACTCACTCACTCAAGTGAGTGAGTGAGTGGGTGGGTGCGTGGGTGAGTGAGTTGGTGAGTGAGTGAGTGATCAGGTGAGCAAGTGAGCAAGTGAGTGATTGAGCGAGTAAGATATTGTACAATAGTGGGCGGATGTAACCACGCGACCTATAACCGGTGTATATGACGTCAGACGCTCCGTGTTTATAGTGTTGGCGAGCGATTCGTCAGTGCCTACCCGTATGTATGATAGTATACAGGTATACATATCTACCCGTATGTACGACCGTATACAGGTATACATTATCTACCCGTATGTACGACCGTATACAGGTATAAACTACCTACCTGTATATGTGATAGTATACAGGTATACATTATCTACCCGAATGTGTGATAGTATACAGGTATACATTATCTACCCGTATGTATGATAGTATTCAGGTATACATTATCTACCCGTATGTGTGATAGTATACAGGTATACATTATCTACCCGTATGTATGATAGTATTCAAGCATACATTATCTACCCGTATGTGTGATAGTATACAGGCATACATTATCTACCCGTATGTATGATAGTATACAGGTATACATTATCTACCCGTATGTATGATAGTATTCAAGCATACATTATCTACCCGTATGTGTGATAGTATACAGGTATACATTATCTACCCGTATGTGTGATAGTATACAGGCATACATTATCTACCCGTATGTGTGATAGTATACAGGCATACATTATCTACCCGTATGTATGATAGTATACAGGTATACATTATCTACCCGTATGTGTGATAGTATACAGGTATACATTATCTACCCGTATGTGGGATAGTATACAGGTATACATTATCTACCCGTATGTACGACCGTATACAGGTATAAACTACCTACCTGTATATGTGATAGTATACAGGCATACATTATCTACCCGTATGTACGGCCGTATACAGGTAAAAACTACTTACCTGTATGTATGATCGTATACAGGTATACATTACCTACTTGTCTATGTAACGTTGTACACGAACACCGCACCTGTTCGCATGTATGACGCTATACAGGTGTATACATATGCAGGTATCTCTTGCAGCGCCGACGAGCGATTCGACAGCACATATCCGACGAACGTCGTCGTCTCGCACGACGGAAACTGCTCGTACTTGCCTCCGGGCATCTTCAAGAGCACGTGCAAGATCAACATCGCCTGGTTCCCGTTCGACGAGCAGCGATGCAAGATGAAGTTTGGCTCGTGGACGTACAACGGCTTCCACCTGGAACTGTTCGAGAAGGATTCGGAAGGAAGCACGAAGGAGTTCGTCGAGAACGGAGAATGGAAACTGCTAGGTGCGTGTATATGTACGTGCGTGTGTGTGTGTGTGTGTGTGTGTGTGTGTGTGTGTGTGT